CCCCTTAATGAAAACGGCCTGGGACCGAAACCGACGGACCTGGACCCGCAACAATAACGGCCGCGACGCCCTCTCGCGAACCGAAAACGGCCAATTCCTGAATCGACGTGTCAGGGTAGGAGGTCTGTCCACCCCCGAATGATACGGGCTCAACCTCCAAGGCATGCGGCACGTGCGCCAGCATGTGCCCGCCAGGCGTGCTTCTGGCTCTCTGTGGCCGGCCCCCCCGGCGCAAAAGGCCGACGCCTGCCAGTGGAACAGACGCCCAGGATGATGATGACAGAGTTATGATGTTCCAACCTACGTTAGCCTGGATCGCCAGAAAGAATTTCGAGCGCCAGAACAGTACCCGACAACTCCAAATTTTCACGTGTCGGGCCCTGGGAGACACTCGTTCGACACTGTTTCGACACTATTTTGACACTCTTTCGACACTTTTCTGGGTGCTCGAAATTATTTTTGGGATGTGGTCCTTAAGTACGATGGGAACAACATAATGATAGAGTGCAGCCGCTGTTTCAGATCATTGGGTGCCTGACGAGCTGGGAAACGAAGACGAGTCCCTCTCTTGAGTACCTCCTTTACATGTTCCTCGTTAAGTGTGTGTGTGCTCTTCCGCAGAGTCTGGTGGTCAGGGCATGGGCATCAAATCCCTCCCATCCTCCGGGGAAGGTAATACCCTGGGCCCGTCTGTGGCAAAACCGGTACTCTCAAGATGGAGATCCCGTACGAGTGATTTTATCTCACTGGCGAGCTGTCTTAACGATCGACCTCCGCCTGACAACATCGCCATCACTCTATGCAGCTTGTCTTCATCATCTGCCCGTGGCTCCTCGTGCCCATCCGCACCTGGTGCCAATCCAGGCAGACCTACACCTATACTGGGCGGCAGCCCGCCAACCCCTGGTGCCAATCCAGGTGGGCGTCGAACCGCGTTGGGCGCCAATCCAGGCAAACCTACACTTATGCCAGCTGGGACCGATCCAGACTGGGGGCCTGGAGCCGATCCAGACCATCGAGCAGCGGCCCTGGTTCCGGAATCCAGGGCGGTGCCACAACTCAGCCAAAATGGCTGGTGGTGCAGGTGCCAATCCTGCTGGCGTCCCAGGAACCAATCCTGAGTGGCCCTTCGTTTGACGTGCTTCGGAGGCTGGCGCCGATCCAGCTACCCTCTGGCCTAAGACCGCCCTGGACGCCCGTACCGATCCAGCAGTCCTGTGAGCAAGCACGGACCCGGGCGGATGTGGTTCCGATGCGCCTCTCGCCGGCGGTCTCGCCGCCAGGGCATGGCGCCCCTCCGCGGGCGGCCCCGCCCTCGGCCCTGGGAGCCCTGTCGGTGGCGCACCTCCTGGGCCCCTGCGGCTTGGTTGGCCTGCCGGGGCGTCGAGCTATGGCCATCCTTCCTCGCGCCCTCCTCGAGCTCGCGCCCACGACCTCCGGCAGCCCGTAGCGCCGCGCCTCGCGGGTCGAAGGGTGCGACCTCGGCCGAGGGCTTTGGTACAGTCGGGGCCTTGACCTAAGGAACCCCAAATAAGGAACGAGGCCCCTTTTTTCCATAAGTTAAATTTCGATTTCCAATCGAAAACATAAGGAACACCTGAGGCAAGCTGTGAAACACTTAAGGAACGCGGAGCCCCTCCCCAACTAAAAGGGTTCCTTCTTCAGGGCCCCGACTGTACGTAGTGAATTTCTTACTCCTGCGGCGCTGGGCCGAAAACCAGGGATGAGACACGGAGCGGGCGCGCGGCAGCCGAGCGCGCGGGGAGGGACGACGCATCCGGGCCCAGCAAATAACACACGGGAGCGGCGATGCGGGAAAGCCAGGACGACGCGCATCTTGGGCGAAGATGGCGCGCAAACGATGCGACGTACCATGTGGATGACGAGCCGAGTCAGGATCCTGACTCGGTCCGTGCTGCCGTGGTGGCGCGGGCGGCCTCGGCCTCAGCGCCGCCTGCGGCCCCGCGGAGCACGCCCCCATGCGCGGAAGGGGCCGCACCGCGGCAGCCGCCCTCGCCCGAGCCTGGACGGCCCCCTCCTCGCCGCGGAGCAGCGCTGCCCTCTGCCTCCGGCCGGAGGAGCTGGCCCCCGCGGCGGGAAGGGGCGTGAGGCGTGTGCGTGCAGGGATACGACCGAGGGAGGGGTCGATCCTCTACTGGGGTCCGTGGGTAGAGGCAGAGGAGGACGAGGTCAGCTACTCCTGTTTCCTGGGCGCTGCGCGGAGAGCAGCGCGGCATGATGTTCATGCCAATACCTGAGCCGATACATTAGCGGTATCCGGCGATACAGTGGTGATTTGAACGGACTTTACACACATGAGGTACCGGGCCACGTTCCAATGGCCGTCGTGGTGGGCCACCTCGACGGCTTGGAGCCTGAGCATCACATGCTCCACCGCCTCGGCGACCTTGCCTTCCAGGATGAGGTCGATGACCTTCGCCAGGGTGCGCATGTCTTCGCGGTTCCGTAGGCTCACCTGGCCGTTCGCCGAGGGCGACAAGACGCTCGTGAAGTAGGCCTCCATCGCGGGCTCGAGCTCGCCCTTTGTGCCCCCCGAATTGCTCTGGCGAGCGACCAGATAACGTCGTACCTCCTCCAATCCTGCCTTGAGCACCTTGCCTGGCTGGTTCCTCGAGCTCCGCTCCGTGCGGTCGCCGGAGGCCCGGGCCCTGCGAAAAGGGCGGCCGCCACCCCTCGAACTCCTGCTTGAGCTGGCCGATGGTGGAGGACTCCGCCTTCTGCGCCGTCTCCTGCTCCTGCTCCTGCCCCTCCGCCTGCCTCGCCCTCGGCCAGCCTCCTCCGACTCCTCACGGTCAGCGGCTCGAGCAGGCAGGATGTCGTGCACTGCGCGCCTGCTGCCGGGACTCCTCTCGCCGCCCCCCCGCCCGTAACCGAGCCCCGGTCTCTGAGCATCGTTTAGCCGATCCCCCTCCCCAGCGGCGTGGCCTGGGCCCCGCTGGCCAGTTCCCCCCCCCTAGATGAAGATTATAGGCCGCTCCCCTCGGGTTTCGAGGGGTGTATCCCCAACTGGGGCGGTAATTTGGTGGGGGTCTCGAAGGGGGTGGGGATGGAGATGTGGATCGGTGGAAAGATATTGAGTCTCTGCCGGACTGGCGTTCGTCACCTGAGCCCAGCACGCCAAGACGCTCCCGGAAGGCGGCCTAGCTTGCCCCGTAGGCTCCCGGCGTCGGCCTCTCCTCTCTGCTCGCCGGCCGTGCCGACCTCCTCGACCTGGACGTCGTATCCTCGCATGCGAGCCTCGGGCTTCGTGAGAGCCCGCCGACGCTGACGATGCTCGCGGCACGTCTCCCCGATTACCTGCGCACAGCTGAAGTATAACTAGTGGCGCCTCCGCCTGTGGACCATGGGCTTGGCCGAGCTCGCGCCCAGCAGCATCCCCTAAGGCCCCCTGGAAGGCCGGGATCACGAACGCCCCAGCTGCGGCGGGGATGATGATCTGCGCGACCTCGACCAGGGCTGCCCCCGCACCTCTTGGCAAGCCTACTTCGATAAACGACCCCTCCTTCAGGCGGTCGTTCCGACCATGGGCCCAAGCTGGCAGCGCTGCACCGCCTCACAGCGGCTCGTCTCCGGCTCCTGCGCGGGGCACGCCATGGCGCCCAGGCCGGCCCCGCCTGCAGGGCTGGCGGCGGGCCGACGCCGCAGAGGCCTGCGAGGCCCCGGGGCAGCCTTGCCCCGGGGTTTCGCCTTGGCTTCAGCCTGAGCCTTGCCTCGGCCTCGGCCGCCGCCAGCTTGTTGCGGCCCTGTGACAGGCCACCGGTTGCCGGAACAAGATCTGACCCCGCCCCTCGTGCACCGAAGAGGCTTCGGCATCTTGAGTGCGTCGTAGGGACAGCCAGTCACATGCGAAACCGCCGTAGGACGCACTTTTTTTGGAATGTTCCTCTTGCAGAGGGACATGCCCGACTTACCGCTGCAGCCAACCAGTATCATAAGCATGCGTGGTAAGGATGCGAGGGCCTTGGAGGCCCATGCGAACGTTGCTCGAGCGAGGTTGGTCAGCGAGAGTCGCGCAGGATGGGCCGAGGGGCCAAGGACGCAATGGTACCCTTGGGAAGGTCGCCCATCAATACTATGCGGGCTGACTGTTCTCCCCGGGCATCTCCGTGGACTGCGGTCTGAACCAGATCAAATCTCGAGGCGGATCCAGCCGTGGCGACGAGGGAAGGGTCGCAACAAAACGATAGCGATATGCCGCTGCTTCATGGGCCTCGCCAGGGATGCGCTCGGACCGGGTTTCCGAGGATGCTCCAGCCGTGGTCGCGAGGGATCTCCAGGACCAGCAGCGGCATGGGTATCTCCTCCCCCTCTTCCGGTGGCAACTCATGGGAGCCTCCCAGACCATCTTGTCGGCTCTTGCGAATCGACGCTAATCGACGCTGAATCGACGCTAAATTGACGCTAACCGCCACCAGCCGACGCTACATGAGCGCTGTCTCAGATCCACTCCCAGACGCTAATCGACGCGAGTCGACGGTGAAGACATAATCACGAGGGCACACCATGCTACCATGACTTGCTGCCTTACCCTCTGACTCGTGCCGCTTTGGCGCTCCGCGCGGATTTCTTGGCTCCGCGCTGGACCCCCCTCCATGGCGCGCGGAGCGCGCCAGGCCAGGGGGGGGGGGGGCAGCGCGGATTCAAGAAGCCCGCGCGGAGCGCCAAAAGTCTGTGTTTGTGGCGTTCCCTCCTCGACCCTCTGAATCATGCCGTCTTGAGCAGGGACCGACCGTCCCGGCATTCCTATAGTCATACCACGACATGTTCTTAGAACCCCCAGACATGTTCTAAAAACAAAAACAATGTTCTTAGAACAGACACCCGATGTGTAAAAACAAGACAGACTCCGCCAGAAATGTTTTAAGAACATTTCGTGGAAACCACGGAAGGTCCTTAGAACACTGTTTTGCAGGGCTATAGGCGAGCCGGGACGCTTCGCCACTGCTTGACTGAATCATGCGGTTGCTTCTCCCCCGCTCCTCCCGAGCCCGGTCGCCCAGCAGCCCGCCCATCGCGCGCCCGTAGACGCCGCCGGCCCTCCGGGAGATGCGCTCCGCGGCGGCCTCCGGGGGAGGACGGAGCCCTTCTCGGCGCCCCTCCTCTGACGGGGGACTCCACTACAGGGGATGCCAGTCCACAAGAAGCCTTCCACAAGAAGCCCAACTCTGAGATCCCAGGACGTCCATGGACTTTTGGTGTGGGAGCGTCGCGCTTTCCACAGCGAAACCATCGGAGCCCAAGAAACCCAGGGCACCCTGGAGGCAAGCATGGTGCTCCTTGGCATGGACCTCCACTGTAACAGGTGCTTTGGCCAGTGACCCGGCGAACCCAATCCTCCCCGATGTGGGCAACGCTGCAGTGCCAGAAAGAGGCCCTGAAATGACAACTTTCGGCAATGTTCCAATGTACCCGTTAAAGCGGCCTTCAGCGAGAGCTGCCGGGGGGACTCCACGTGCGCACGGCACCACATTCCGAGTGCACCCCAGCGGGAAGCGAATCGACGTTAAAAAACCCCAGACCGCTTCGAGTAATTGAAACATTTACGACGGGAGGTTTTTCCCCACAAGATTAGTGGGGTTTTGATTTTCGCCTCTCCGACGTCCCACCCGCGTCTTCCTCACTCGCCTCCCTCCTCCCCTCCTCCTCTTCCTTCCTCCCCTCACCCACGCGCAACACACACACACACACACACACATACACACATAATCCACATGCAGCCGCACACAACATCCGCACACACACACCATACAGCGCACACACACATCATACACACGAGGCACGCGTCCACATACAGCCGCACACACACACACACAACACAGCACAGCACAGCACAGCACAGCACAGCACAGCACAGCACAGCACAGCACAGCACAGCACAGCACAGCACAGCACACCACAACACAACACAACACAACACAACACAACACAACACAACACAACACAACACAACACAACACAACACAACACAACACAACACAACACAGCACAGCACAGCACAGCACAGCACAGCACAGCACAGCACAGCACAGCACAGCACAGCACAACACACACACACACACGCACACGCACACGCACACATACACACATCATGTACATGCACAAAGCGCACAAGACACAAGACACGCGTGCAGTCACACGCGCACACACACACGCACTACATACAACGCCAATGCACGCCTGGCGCGTTCACTGCATCACACACCCAAGACGTATGCGCACGGTTGTCCAGGCACCGCAGGCGTGGCCTTTTCTCGACACCATACGGGGTGCGCTGGGGGTGGTCCCTCACCGCAGCCGCTACGCACGCCGGTCGTCCAGGGCATAGCAAGCGTGGCATTTTCTCGATCCCACAGAGGGTGCGGTCGGGGTGGTCCCCCAGCGAGGCCGCCACGTACGCCGGTCGTCCGGAAACATAGCAGGCGTGGTACGTTATCGACACCATCGGGGGGCCGCGGGGGGGCGCTTTCCTAGGGCTTAGCGCGCGTGGCATTTTCTCGAGGCCACAGGGGTACGCAAGCGTGCGGAATTTTCCCTTCAGCTATCACCACGCCAGACAAGTTAGAAGTATGTTGGGTTCCTCGGTAGCGTAATTCGCTAACTATTTTCGGGCTTGCCCGGCCTCGGGACCGTCAAAACACAACTCCGTATGAAAAACTGGTCCCGGGGAAGGGGTCCAGACCTCTGGAGGTCGACGCCATGAACGAATCATGACGTCGGAGGTCTGGGACAACCGAATGTATCTCGCGAATCACACGTCGATTAGCGAGAACGGCCGGGGACTGCACCGGCACACACGAATGCCAATGTCAAGTGAACCACCGAAGCTTTCCTCAATCGGCTTGTGTGTGGGGGGGCGTTCCCGCTATACCCGAGGCCTTTGCATGGGCGCTCGGCCACTACTCTAGACATGCAAAGAACTCTCACCGAAATCGCAAATCAAGTGAAGGCGCAACGCCCACAACAAAAAAAACACCGTGCCCAAAACCAATATTTAATGCAAATGCAGTTTCTGGGCCCGGGGCGAAATTGCACACTTGAGCAAGCCCGAGTTGGCCACACAACCCACGCTACACCTGTTTTGCCATGCGAACAGGGCGGAGAGAAGAGGCGGAGGAGGAGGAGGAGAAGGAGGAGGAGGTGCACCGAACTAACTCATTTAGTCAAGGAGGAGTGGGGAGGAGGAGGAGGAGGAGGAGGAGGAGGAGGAGGAGGAGGAGGAGGAGGAGGAGGTGCCACACAAAACCCACCCTTCACGCATCCTCAAGACGGGGATCGATCCGACGCCGCGTGCTCATCCCCAACCGAGGCCTGCGCCCTGCCGCACGCCCTGTCCGGGTCCGAGTCCGGAGACCTGGCGCGGCCCCACGCGCTCTCGCGGCCCCCGCCGGCGCGCCCGCGCGGCCGCGACGCCCCGCGGCTGCGGCCCCTGCCTCCGTCTCCTCGGCGGCTCGGAGAGATGGGGCTGTGAGGGATTCGGGAGCGGCCAGGAGGGGGGTGTCCAAGAGGGGGGGGTGCAAATCATGGCCGGCGGCACGTGCGCGGCCCAGCGGGGGGGCCAGGGACGTAATGGAACCAGAAGAGGCGCCCTGAGATCTGGGCAAATATCATGGCCCCCGCCATGAGATCCACCCCCCCCTAGTCATCACCCCCCTCTTTTCCGCCCCCGAGGGATGGGGTCCTGCGAGGAGGGGCATCCAGATCTCCAACGTGCACAAGCGTCAGATGTTCGTCGTTTGCAGCCTCTGGGGGCCCCTGCCGGGCCCCCCAGAGGCTGTCAACGAAAACTGCTCGGGACGAAAAGCAGACCCTGGGGAAGGGGCCGGGGCCCCCACAGCGGACAAGCCCAGACGTCGCATCTCCCACAAGGAGTCCCAGGGCTGGTAAACGTTTTCTTATTCGGCGTTTGGACATTGAGCGAAAGGGGGGAAGGGGGGGGGGGTCTGGCTCTGGACCTCTGCTGGATGCGACTGTTTACAGCAGAGCGTCCTAGGGGGGAGGCTCCACCTGCTCGAAACAGGCGCCAGATACAGCCAAGATCTATCTACTCCATGAGGTGGAGGAAGGGGGGGAGGGGGGGTGCGAGGGCCCGCGCCGAGCGGCAAAACAAGGAATAAGAAACCGATCACCTGAGTTCACGTTGTTTGAGGCTCCCCTTCCTCAGGGCCACATCCCTGAGGCCAACATGTAGGTCGGGCATGTCCCCCTACGGGCGGATTTGGGACGACAGATACAACGTAGCCTGAACATGCCCAAAATAGTCAACAAATCGTCCCCAGACTATTGTTTGACAATGACGGAGCGTTCCTCCTGTAGAGGGACAGGCCCGACTCAGGGCTACGTCTTGGAGCCGCCGACCTCCGTGGCGGCCGTCCCCGCCGCCCCTGCCGCTGCCGCCCCAGCCGCCCGCCTCCGACCTCGGCCGCTTCCTCCGCCTGCGGGGGGGTGCGGCGCCCGAGGGTGCGCGGCACGGTCTTGGGAGGCAGCTGCCGGGGGGCCTCCGTGGGAAGGACTCGGGTTGCGGATGCCATGACAAAGGACACCCTAACAGTCCCATCATTGAACTTAGCACGTGCTTAAAATCTAGTAGGAACAATGTTCTAAACATGTTTTTTGACATGTTTTAGACACATGGGAACTATTTGGCAACATGCTTCCTCTCCGTGGATCGCCCTCCACAAGACGAGGGAGGATTCAGCCCCGTTGGGGGGGCGTGCTCCGATCTCGGCCGCTCCCTCCGCCGGCGAGGCAGCTGCCGGGGGGGGGGGGCTCTCCGCTGGAAGGACCATATAGGGAAGATCAAGCCTTAAGTCGGGCCTGTCCCCCTACAGGGGGATTTTCGACGAAAAATAAAAAAATACCCCAACAATAATCAAAGCATAATCCAACAAAAATAGTCTGGGGACTATTTCTGGAATATTTTTCGACCTTTTTGGGGCATTTTGGGGGTATTTCTTTTTTTCGGCGAAAGCCCCCCTGTAGGGGGACACGCCCGACTTGAATCAAGCCCCCTTGGGGGGCCGTTGCGCCAGAGCAGGCCGCGGATTCAGCGGGACCCGGCCGCACCGGGCGGGATCAGGCGGGATCAAGCCGGACTCCTCGGGATCAGGCCGGATCAAGCCGGCTTTCGGACCAGGGCAGAGCAAGAGCTCGACCTCCCAGGAAGCGCATCGAAGACATTTTTTTTTTTTGTTTCGGATCGCGCCGCATCTGGATCGTTTGCCGTAAGCTGTGCGCGATGTGGAAGCGCATCGAAGACCATCTGAGCGAGCCCGGGTCGGCGCGGGCCGGCCGCATCGGTCGACGGAGCCCCTCGCCACCGCTCGGACCTCCGCTCCCCGTGCAGCTGTCGATGTCGTGCGCGCCTTGTTCTGTTCGCAGGAGGGCCCCGGAAGGCTCCTCAGTGGCCCTCGCTGGGAAGACATGCACACACGCGCCCGAGCGATGCCCAGGATCGGCCGAAGCAGGAGCCGAAGCGGAGATCGGCCATGCGCACACGCGCCCGAGCGATGCCCAGGAGCTGGAGTCGACGCGGGGATCGGCCGTGCCAGCACGCCAGAGCAGCGCCGTGCAAGCATCGCTCTTGCTCCTGGGCTATAGAGGCCTCCTGGATGGGATCGGAGTGCTCCAGATTTCGTAATAAAAGGGAGGGGGTCTGGACCCTCCAAGACAAGCCATTTCAGCCCCCCGTGGGAGAACCCTCCAAAACATCGTCCCCAGACCCCCCCAGGCCCTCCAAGATAGCCTGGAAGAGACCCCCCCCGAAATGAGACCCCCCTCCCTTTATTACGAAATCTGGAGTAGATGGGGTCGGAGGATCACGCCGCGTCGGCGATGCCTCGGCGATGCGTCGGCGATGCATCGGCGATGCACCGGCCATGCATCTGCGATGCACCAGCGATGCATCGGCGACGTCCGCGTGAAGGCCATCGGGATCAGCATCGAGCCCCATCGTCGATGCTTCGGCGATGCGGCGCGATCCTCCGACCTCATCTACTCCGACCCCACCTGGCAGGCCTAGGTTTAGGTCGGGCATGTCCTCCCACAGGCTGATTTCTGTGGAAAAAAGATTCTTAAAATTCTCAAAGAATGTCAGTACATACTAAGAACAATAGTCTCCAGACTATTTGTTTATGCTATTTTCGAATATTCCCCCTGTAGAGGCACAGGCCCGACTTAAGCCTAGACGGGCGGCCTGCCCTGCGCTGGGTGCTGCCCCCCGGTTCGGGGATCCCCTGACCCGGGTCAATCCAGACCCGGGTCAGTCAGGCCTTGCAGACTCTTGCAAGATCCTGCACCCAAGCCCGGGCCCATGCGAAGGATCCTGCAAGATCCTGCGCCCAAGCCCGGGTCACTGCGACCCTGGCCCTGCAGGCTTCTGCAAGATCTGGCGCTCTGACTGACCCCCGTTTGCACTGACCCCCGTCTCTTGAGCCCCGATTCTTCTCTCTCTCTCTCGCGCGGGGGAGGAGGAGGAGGAGGAGGAGGAGGAGGAGGAGGAGGAGGAGGAGGAGGAGGAGGAGGAGGAGGAGGAGGAGGAGGAGGAGGAGGAGGAGGAGGAGGAGGAGGAGGGGAGGAGGAGGAGGAGGAGGGGGAGGAGGAGGAGGAGAAGGAGGAGGGGGAGGGAGGAGGAGGGGGAGGAGGAGGAGGAGGAGGAGGAGGAGGGAGGAGGAGGAGGAGGAGGAGGAGGAGGAGGAGGGGGAGGAGGAGGGAGGAGGAGAAGGAGGAGGGGAGAGGAGGAGGAGAAGGAGGGGGAGGAGGAGGAGGAGGAGGAGGAGGAGGAGGAGGAGGAGGGAGGAGGAGGAGGAGGAGGAGGAGGAGGAGGAGGAGGAGGAGGAGGAGGAGGAGGAGGAGGGAGGAGGGGGAGGAGGAGGGAGGAGGAGGTGGGGAGGAGGAGGAGGGGAGGAGGAGGAGGAGGAGGAGGAGGAGGAGGTGGAAGAGGAGGGGTAACTAATCGACCCCGAGACCGACCCGTGGCTGTTGGACCCCGACCGGTGGCTGTTGGACCGCGCCCGGCGGCGCAGAACGGACCGCGCAGCTGCCCCCCGGGGCGCCCGCGGCCGCGCGCCGCGCCCGGGTGGGCGAGCCAAACCGTCGGGGGTTGCCTCCTCCTCCTCCTCCTCCTCCTCTTCCTCCTCGTCCTCCTCTTCCTCGTCTCCTCCTCCTCCTCCCCTCCCCCCTCTCCCCCTCCTCCTCCTCCTCCTCCTCCTCCTCCTCCTCCTCCTCCTCCTCCTCCTCCTCCTCCCTCCTCCTCCTCCTCCTCCCCCCTCCTCCTCCTCCTCCTCCTCCCTCCTCCCTCCCTCCCTCCAGCACCCCTCCCTCCCTCCCTCCCTCCCTCCCTAAGGAACCCTGAACAAGGAACGAGGCCCCCTGTTCCCCCATGGGTGACACTTCGACTTCCCATGGGAAGCCTCCGGCAAACTGCAACACAGTCAAGGAGCACCGAGCCCCTCCCCAACGAAAAGGGTTCCTCCTTCAGCGCCCCGACTGGAAAGTCTGCTGCGCTTCAGGGAGGAAGCGAGAGGGCGGGCCTTCTCAGAGGGCTCGGAAGTCCCCCAGCCGTCCGACAAGTGTTCTCAGCCTTCCCCGAAGACGCAAAGGAAACTTCTCAGAAGGCGTGACGGCTTCTGAGAAGTCCCGCCACCTTCTGGGGAGGCCTTCTCCTTCGCGTTTCCCCCCCGCTCGCCGCCGATCAAATGTGCCCTGGCCCAAAACTGCCCCAACTTTTCGCTCCATGTTGGAGCCCCTGGGGCCTTCTGGGCCTCGTCAGGGGTGCTCTGGAAGCCGTGGGGTCCTCCTCGGAAATCATGGGGGTACCTTGGGCCAGGGGCACCTCTAGCGACCTCTGGAACAAAAAGCAAGCATCGGGCCACATCGGATCACAGGAACATCGAAGTCGGACAGGATCGAGCGGTCCCAAACCGATGACGAGGACGACGACGACGACGACGACGACGACGACGACGACGACGACAACGACGCCGACGCCGACGCCGACGCCGCCGCCGCCGACGACGACGACGACGCCGGCGCTGCCGCCGACGACGACGACCACGACAAGGACGACGACGACGACGCCGGCGCCGCCGACGCTGCCGCCGACGACGCCGCCGCCGACGACGACGACGATGACGACGACGAGCATAGGATCGAGCGGGCCAAAACCGAAATGGCCTGCCGACGGGCTCGCCCACGCCGTCGCTGTCGCCCTGCACGCCGCCGCGCTGGAAGCGGAAGTGCGGCAGGTGCACCCGGCAGTGCTTCACGCACATCCTCACGGTGCAGCGGTCGCGGTCCTCCAAACAAGCGGCGAACGATGGGCGACGTCGGCGGCGTCTATGGGCGGCGTCGTCGTCGTCGTGGTCGTCGTCGTCGTCGCCGTCGTCGTAATCGACGTCGCCGTTGTCGGCGTTCGCTGGCGGTGGAGCGGCCCCTCCATCGCGCTGCCGTGCGGAGCGCATCGCGAGGAGCGACGAGGGGCTTTCTCATTCCGGCCGCGGCGGGCTCATAGGCCACGCAGGGCCTCCACGAGAAAACCGCGGCACGGCCCGAGAGCCCGAGCCCCTCCCGAGCCCCTCGCGGTCCTCATCTTACCAGCCTATTTCATGAGGGCGGATCCCTAAGATTGTCATCGCCTCTTTGCGTGTCAATCTTAGGGATAGGGATACGTTCGAGGCTGGTAAGTTAGGAGTCGAGGGGGTCTGGGGAGGAGGAGGAGGAGGAGGAGGAGGAAGAGAAGGAGGAGCAGGCGCAGCCCGTTGGACGGCGCCGAGGGAGGCCCGGCGAGGGCCCCCAGGGGCCGAAGATGGTGAAACACACACGCCGTCGTGATTTCTGTGATTTACCAGCCTGGAACATATCCCTATCCCTGTGCTGGGCACCTCCTCATCACGATGCCAATCTCAGGGATTCCCTTATCTTTTGAGGGCGGATCCCTAAGATTGTCATCGCCTTTTGGCGTGTCAATCTTAGGGATGGGGATACGTTCGAGGCTGGTAATCATCTCAGCGCCTCGACTGCATTCGTGCCCTCGCCCTCGCGGGCCGGGTTCCAGGGCGCGGTCCTGCGGATGGATACACGCGGGCGCACGGCGGCGTTCCGCGCGGGGCACCCGCACGCAGGCACGCCCCGTGGCCGCGGGGGTCGCGGCCCAACGGCCTGGCCCACGAGGCCGCGGGCACGGAGATGTTTCTTGCCCACGAGTCCTTCCGCGCACAGACGCTGAAGCGGGACTGCAGCTTTTGCATGACCTTCGAGCGGGGGCGTATGCTGACCCCAACCCCCGGCTTTCTGGGATGCTCGACTGGACAAAAACGACGGAGGGGGCGTCCATCTAGGATAGGGGAGCGTCCGAACAGCCCCCCCCCTTGGGTGTATCCCCGAGTTCCCTTTCTGGTCCTGGGCAGCCGATTTCTGATGGGGGGGACTCGAGGTCTGGAGGCGAGAAACCGCACACCTTGTCTGGGTCGGACACGTCGTTCTGCTCCAGGCGGAGCCACAAGGGGTTGGCCTTGGAGGGTCGCGCCCCATCGGCAGCCTCGACTATCGCCTCCACGCCTCTCGAGGTGAAGCGGTTGTGCGACAGGTGCATCTCCTCGATCGTCGGCGTCCTTCGGACCAGCGCTGCGAGCGCCTCCGCGCCATCGTCGTCTATGTCGTTCATGAAGAGCTTGAGGACGCGCAGCTTCTCGCACTTGCCGCACACATCCAGAACCTTCTGCAAGCGATCGCCGCAGAGGCGGTTCTTAGAGAAATCGAGATCCTCACACGCGGAGACGTCTTTCTGGGACAGGTCCTTCAGGTCCGTGTCCTTCTGGAGGCGCCGGGAGTAGTTCAGCCTCCTGGAGTCCCCCATGGCTCGCCCCGGCGCGGGCCGAAACGCCTGAGCCAGAAGGACTGCGGAAAGGGTGGAGGAGGGAGGAGGGAGGAGGAGCGCGGACGAGGGAGCCAACAGCACATATCGCCCGCTGCGGGCCGCGGGGGCTGCCGGAGGCCAGCCCGCGGCGAGGAGGCCGTGCGCGCGGCGCGACCCGTGATGTGCGACGCGCGGTGCTCTGCGAGGCCGCCTGGGCGACGAGGGCGGCTGCCCAGCCCGGGCTGCGACGCGCGAGGCGCGAGGAAGTCTGGCCGTCGGGTGGGCCGCGTGCACCCACGGCTCGGAGGTGGGCAGAGCTGCGCAGCAGAACGGCGTGGGAGCGTGTTGCGTTCCCGCCCGCCCCTCGACAAGAACAGGAAATCGGGGAGCAGGGCGACCCTCGGAATCGGAAGGTGACCAACGTACAACAAAAATCTCTGGTGGCAACTCATGGGATCCTTTCATACCATCATGCTGGCCGGCGCTAGTCGACGCTACTCGGCTCTTTCCGACGGTGGTCGACGCTAAATCGACGCTAACCGACGCTAATTCAGCGCTATCTCATCGGCTACCAGAAGCCACTCGACGCCAAAGACAGAACTAAGATGGTACACAGGGCTCCCAGACTTTGCCACCGCAAGAGTCTGGGAATCAGGTAAACACATGGCGGGCTCCTGAATCCCTGAACCCCAAAACGCTTTCATCTCTATCTTTTACTCCCGCCGCCTTCCGCCGGCCTTCCGCCGGCTCCCGCTGGCGGAGGCGACCTCGCGATACTTCCGCCAACTTCCGCGGGCCTTCCACCGCCTTCCGCCGCGGAAGAGATGGCAGCTCCTTCGATCCTCGAAGGCAATCGCTGGAACGCCCCAACATGCTTCCAGAGCGCGGTGGACACCACCGTGCCGCTCACGAGCGGGGCCAGCCCCCCCCCCCCCCCCCCCGTCGCTTGAAGCGCCCCGCCGCCCCCGCCGCCCGACCGCAGGAGCCGAGGCAGAGCACCGTCTGGACCTTCTGACTACCTACCAGACCACCCCAACCCAACCCGAAGACCCGAATTTCGGGTTGGGGGGGAGTAAGGGTTCCATCTGTGTTTTTTCAATGCTCCCCGACCCCTCCCACACTGGAAATGGAGGGCAAATTGAGGCCTTCGGGTTGGGTTGGGGTGGTTTGGTAAGTGGTGACCTTCTCTGGCGACGGAGCCTCGGATCGCTGCGCAGCCGCCGACGGACACGGCAGATGGGATCCAGGGCTCCCCACTCCGCGCCCTGGGCTGCGCCGCGCGCGGAGCTGGGAGCGACTGGGCGCTCTCGCGCCGCCCCCCACTCGGGGGGAGAAGAGAGGAGGACGAGGAGGCATCGGAGCCGAGCCGCGACGCGCGAAAAGCGCGCGAGCAGCTGCGCGTGCCCGCGGGCGCCCTCGGGCGTGGCACATCGGGTGGCCCCTGCCGCAGCGATCCCGGCCGTGGCCCCCGGCACCGCGCGGGGTGCGGGGCGCGCGGCCTGGGACGAGCGCGGCTCCCCGACGGCGCAGGTCGTTCGACGTCGGCCGCTCCTGTGCCCCTCGAGGTGTTCCACTTGGAGCGCCCGCGCGGGGGTGAGGAGGGAGGAGGGAGGAGGAGGAGGAGGAGGAGGAGGAGGAGGAGGAGGAGGAGGAGGAGGAGGAGGAGGAGGAGGCGGAGGGGGAGGGGAGGAGGGAGAAGTAGGAGGGAGGAGGAGGAGGAGGAGGGAGGAGGAGGAGGAGGAGGAGGAGGAGGAGGAGGAGGAGGAGGAGGGGGGGTCACCGCAGCGTCGGCACGGCACGAACCTACAGTGCGGGCGCGGCCGCAAGAAGCCCCCACAAGAAACCCAACCCTGAGAACCCGTGCGTGACGTGCACCTGGGGGGAAACCCGGAGCACCCTGAACGCTGCAGCTCCTTCAACGGCCGCGGTAAGTCGCCGCGCAGCGCGTGGAGCGAAGAAACCCAGAATATGCGGACGAAAAGCATATGGTTTCTTGATGCGCGCCCCACTGTACCGTATGGCATTCGAGGTGGCCCAAGCCAGCAAACGATGGCCGACTGCAGACGCAAGGCTGGAACCGATATCAAAGTGATAGCGGCGACGATGTCGAGAATGGCAGCGGCGGAGGTGGTCATGGGCGCTGTGGTACAGTGGACGCACGTGCAGCACGGATGTGCCCAGGACCACGGTGCTGCCGATGAGAGACCAGATGGCATGAGGATGGGCATACTGATGCTTGGAGGGCTGGCCACTACAACGACGACAACGAGAGGAGAGCTGACGATCACGATGCCTGAGATGCTTTGGCGCAAATGTCTTTCGCGGTCGCTCCTGTGTCATCGACAGTTCTTGACTTGGATTCTCCTGTGCGGACCTCAGAGACAGAACGACACCTGCACCCATCAGCGAGGAATCGGACCCGTCCAATTCTCAACGAGATGGCTCGCGCATGCGCCTGCCTAGGGCAGCGAGAACAGGAATGGGCTCACTCGAGAGCTCCCCGGTCACGGCGGTGTCGGCAGTGATCGTGTACAGCGCGAAGATGCACGCCAGCGCCGACGCGTAGAGCGCAGCCACGAAGATGTATTTGCAGACCGCGCACACCTTCACGATCTTGGGCACGGCCTTGCGGGCAGCCAGGACGCACGATCCTCACGACCCCACCGACACACGTGTTTTCTTACCCGCGCAAGGAGGTCGCCCCGTGGCTATACAGAACAGGATGGGTGAGAGCAGGAGGGGGAGGGAGGGAAGGAGGAGGGGAGGGCAGCAGCAGAAGCAAGCAGGACACGCTGACATGCAAAGCTCTCTCCCCGCCGTGGCCTCCTCCCCAGACCTGCGCCATCGGCGCAGACGGCCGGTGGACTTTTGGAATGCCGTCGGCAGGCTCTCCGTGCCGACCCGCCCGCCGCCGTCGTGCCAAGCATCCCCCTCCGCGTGCCAACGCGCGCCGTCCACAGCGCGTGCGTTGCGCTGCTGCGATGTCCAAACCGTTACCGTTACCGCCGAGTGCGGATCGATTCGCCGATGGCGTGCTGAGAATGGATGAAGAAAACAGCGCCGCGAACGTAAACTTGTGGCGCTCCGCGCGGATTCCTTGGATCTGCGTTGGACCCTCCCCCCCCTGACGCGCGGAGCGCGCCAGGGGCGGCGCCGGAGGCGCCGCGGGAGGGTCTCGGGCGCCGATCCAAGAGATCCGCGCGGAGCGCCGAAAGTTTACATATATATATATATATACACACACACACATCTGGCGTTCTCCTTGCTCGCGAGAGCCCGCCGCCCTTCCTTTCGGCACCGTGCGAGCCAGACCTCGGGGACCCCCTCCGGAGGGCTCGTGGCGAACCGCCTCGCCCCCGAGGCCACCCCCCTCCAGCCGAGCAAGACTCCTTCGGCTGCCCGGCGAGCGTCCCCCTCGAGCCTGCCAGAGGAGCGGGCTGCAGAGGCCGAGCGCCCCCCCCCCCGCCCCCCCCACCTCCAAGCAAGAACAAGTGCAGCAGGTGCCGTGACCACCCTCGGGCACCCCTTGCCCGTCCGCCTCCGCCAGCCGCCAGGTGACAGCTGCGAGCCGCCCACGTCTATCCGCTCCGCGCCCTTCGACCTCCACCCGGTGCCCCCTGGCTTTGGCCACGAGGGCAGGATGGTGGGATGTTCACATTGGGGGGAAGCTGGGGAACTCTGAGAGCTGGCGGGGCTGGAAGACGCATCGGGTGCCTCGTCCCTTCTAGAGCGCTCTGGAAGGCCCTGAGAGCGTTTCGCGACGCTCTGTACGATACAGCCAGAAATTTGAGCAAGAGATTCATCATGCAATAAACTGGGCCAACTGACTGGAAGCTTCTCACGACAAAAACCTGAGCCGGGTTCTGCTGTGAACGCTGCAAGGCAAACGTGCTCAAGAAGCTGGGCCAGCTCTCCGGCACGCTGGCCGAGACACGCTGTCCAAGAAACGCTAGCCCAGCTTTTCGGGAGGAGGTCTCATGATCGGATGCCCGACTGTCTGCCCTCATCCCAGGCCTGCCTGCCTTCGCACTCCTCGCGCGCCCAGCAACGAGGATCGAGAATCGGGGATCGAGGGTCTCGGATCGAGCCCGCCGCACCTTTCGCCTGCAGCCTACTTCGAAGACCCCTACCACTGCCTCGAAGGGAACGCGGGGTCGATGCGGGAAGACGCATCAACGATATTGCAATAAAACCTCCCTCCAAGTTTCGTCTTGAATCCCCGATCCTGCCAAGAGGTCACCTCTGCGACTTCAACGCCGCGAATCTGTAGCAGCCGGTCGCGCTCCGCCTCCCCTAAGGTGTGGAGCACACCCCCAGGATAGAGGCCTCCTCGATGGGGTCGGAGGATCGCGCCGCATCGACAATGCATCGCCGATGCATCAGCGATACATCGGCGCCGTCGGCGTGGAGAAATCGGGCTCCGCAGAAGCCTTGAAACGCTGGCCCCCACTATGCTTAGGTCGGACATGTCCCCCCCTGCAGGCGGATTTTGGGCGCCAAAAAAAATCGAATATTCAAAACTGATCACAAAAAATACAAAAAATCGTCCCCACATTATTTTTGGGACTATTTTGGATTATCCCTCCTGTAAAAGGACAGGCCCGACTGCCTATGCCGCCTGACCCCGCTTTTGGGCGGTGCGGAGCTCCCCCGTGTCGATTGGCGGTGCGACCAGGGGCAGATGCTCTCTCCCCCCTCGGGGCCAGCCCCCCCCCCCTGCCGCTGTCCCTGACCCAGGCCCCGGGCGGCTGGCTGGCTTTGGGCAGGACAGGGTGGTGGTGGCGGCGAACGTGGGGTATTGTGAATCAGCTCTTGTCGCCGGCCTTCCCGGCGCCGCACGGCGAAGAGGAGGCGCCAGAGTACCGAGGAAAGGCACCTGGCTGCGGCGGGGCCCAAGCGAGCCGCATACAGCAAGTCTCCCACCGTCCACTTCCCCCTCCCCCCTTTCGCCCGACCCGAGTGAATCTCGTCGCCTGGATTTCGGGCCATAACTCAAGGCTTAAGTCGCCCAGACGGAGGCAAACTGCTCAGAACATTGTTTTATTCAAAGTACGAAAGTGAGTGTGAAAAATGTGAAACGGCGATGTTCGGGAAGTGTAAATGTGAAAACGCGCAGATTGCAATGTGTGAAACCAGGCCTGGTCGCAAGCGTAAGTGTGACTTCAGCCAAATGCCGAAGTACAAGTGTGACTTCCACGAATACCCGAGGTACGACTGTGATTTTCAAGAATTAACGAAGTACGCCAGCAAAGAGGCTTGGAGCAAAGAAAACGTAACAAAAAAAAACATATGGCCGCATATAACCCCGCCCAGGGAGCGGACCGAGGCCCGGGCTGGCGGCTTGGAAGGCCACAGAAAAGCCAGAGTAAGTTCGCACACACATTGGAAGACTCTGGCATTGGGGGGAGGTAAAACTCGGACCGATGTGTAAGTTCGGGAGTCGATCAAGTTAAAAAATTGACGAAAAACAATAAAAACAAAAAAAACAATAAACAACTCGGCGTGATTTGTCAATTTGAAAAAGTCGAACAACTTGAAAACAAGTTTGGACACATAGGAAAAGCTTGACAACCGTTTGAAAAAAATCCGGACCGATGTGGAAGCTTGAAAAGTTCGAGAAAAATTCTGGCAGATTTGAAATTTGACAAAACTTTGGAAAAAGCCCGGGCTTATTTGGAAAGGTGAAGCAAGATGGGAAATAGCTTGAAACATGTCGGCGCCATTTGGAAGATTGAAAAAACTTGCACAAAGTTTGAAACAGTTTGATAACGGTTGAAGAAAGTTCGGGCCGATGTGGAAGTTCAAGAAGTTTGAAACAAGTTTGAAAGACAAGTTCAAAATCAAGTTTGAAAAGGGTTCGGGCCGATCTGGAAGTTTGAAAAACAATAGAAAAACCTTTGGAACAAAGTTCGACGGGTGAAGTAAAACAAGAGTTTGGAAATAAGCAGCTTAAAAACGTTTGCAAAAAGTTTGGGAAAAAGTTATGACGGATGTGGAAGTTTTAAAAAGGTGTGAAACACATTTAAAAAGAGTGCGGATCGACTTGGGAAATTGAAAAGTTTGAAAAAGTGTGGGAACATTTGGAACAAAAAATCGGGCCGATTTGGGAATTTGAAAGAAGTTCGAAAAAAACTTCGGACAGATTTGAAAGTTTGGAAAAATGAGAAACGTCAGGAACAAAGTTTACGAAACATTGAAAACAGTTTGAAACAAGTTCGGGCCGACTCGGAAGTTTGAGAAAAGTTTGAGAACAGTATGGAAAAAAGTTGGAAAAAGTTCGGACCGATGAGGACGTTTGAAAAAAAATGAAAAAGTCTGACCAACGTTCGGGTCGATTTGGAGGTTTGAAAAACTGAAAAACGTTGGACAAAAGTCCGGGCCGATTTGGAAGTGTGAAACAAAAAACTACAAACAGGTTGAAACAAGTTTGAACAAAGTTTGGAAACAGTGCGGGTCGATTTGGAAGTTTGAAAAAAAGATTGACAAAGTTTCGGAAACGTTCGAAAAAAGTTTGAAAAGAGTTCGGGCCGATTTAGAAGTTTGAAAGAAGTGTTGAAACAAGTTTTGTTAAGTTCCCAGAAAATTGGAACAAAGTTGGGAAAAGTTCAGGCCGATTTGGAACTTTGGAAAACATAGAAAACAGTTTGAACACAGTTTTGAACAAACGAAGAAAACACACACCAAGCAAACAACATATTGGAAAAGTTTGAAAGGTTTGAAAAAGATTTGGCTGTTTTGGAAGTTTGAAAACAGTTCGAAAAAAGTTTGGAAACATTTCGGGCCGGCTTGAATTGAAATGTTTGAATTCAGTTTGAAAAATTCGGGTCGGTCTGGAAGTATGAGAAGCCTACGGTGGATCCTGCTGAAAGCCCTAGGCTTGCCTGGGGCGGGGCTTACTATGGGGCATAGGCCCCCATGGGTGAAGCCTACTGGTCACCCTAAGCGCCCCAAGGGTGGGGCTAAAGGGTAGGCCCTAAGGGTAAGCTTAGCGTAGGCCTGCGGGGTAAGCCCTAAGGAAAAACCCTCCGGGTTTTTGCGGCATGGCGTCGGCGTCCTTGCGCGGTGTTTCTGGTGGCGCGAACCTTTCCCGCAGCGCATCGCACCCCGAGGTGCGCTGCGAGGCCCCCCGGAAGCTCGCACGAGGCGCACAAGAGCTCCAACACAAGTCCTCGAAGTCCCGAAGAATGGTCCCGCGAGGTCCCGAAATGCCCCAACGCTCCCTCCGAGAGTCCGCCGACCGAAACCCAAAGACATCCATGGGGCCCCCGAGCCTCGGACCCGTAACCCAGCCACGACGGCGGGAGGGGGCGCCGAGAGCGGCCATAGACCGTCCCAAACCAGTGGTGGGTACTTCAAAATTGCACCCGTATGTTCCCAAACATTTTTTGTACCTCCAAATCGCCCCCAAACTTGTTTCCGATGTTTCCATACTTCCAAGTCGGCCCAAACTTGTTACACATTTCTTCCATACTCCTTCCATACTTCCAAATCGGCCCAAATGTTTGTCAAACGTTTTCTATACTTTCTCATACTTTCAAATCGGCCCAAACTTTTTTCAAACTTTTTCCATACTTTGCAGACTTCCATATCGGCCCAAACTTTTTCAAACTTTCCAATACGTTTTTCATACTTACAACTTCCCTCAAACTCACCCTCGTACTTCCGTTTCATCTTCAGGCCACACTTTTCCCATACTGCGAATTTCCCTCGCGCGGCCAACGGCTTGCCAGGCTTGGGCAACATAACTCACGGCTCCGGCGGTCATTCGGGACGCTGGAAGGGCACCCCCAGAACGCTCTCGGCGAGGCGCAGCTGCTGGAAAGCATCCCGAGGCTGGCGAACCGCCGAAGATCGACGAAACCAGCGGGCCCGTGGAGGATCCCAAGCCCTTTTCCGGGGGCCTGCGCGACAGCGCGCGTAGCCCTCGCTGGCGGGTGCAACTTGGTGCGGCGCTCGCGGAGACATGCGACCCCGTGCGCCGTCTCTCGCTCCGGAACGCTGGTCCTCGAGCCAGCCTTCTTCGGAGGCGGCTTCAATGAGACGGGCGCAGGGTGAACAGTCATAGCCGGACGAAGACAAGTCGGGAAATCTCTGGCAACTGGCGGGTCTGGAAGATGTGTCGGGCGCCGCGGCCCCTGCAGAGCGGCCTGACACGCTCTGAGAGCGTCCCAGAACGCTCAGGAGCAATTTACTATCGTCTATGCCTGCCTGCCGCTGCCCCCATTGTTGCGAGGTGGGGAATGATCCATATCCACCGCCTGGGAACCGACGTCCTGGTGCCGTAGCGGGCGGTGGATATGGATATATTCCGGCCCCTGCGGGCCCGAATATGTCCATATCCACCGTCTGCCGAGGCTTTGAAAACTGACCCTCCAGGCGGTGGTCATATGTAAATTCCCGCCACGGAATCGTGGGTCCACACACCATGCCAGATCACACCTGCTCCTCCCAGCCATCCTCCAGCAAATGGGGGGGTCCACCCAGACCCTCCGTGGCGCCTTGGAGAGAAGCTGCTCGAAGCTAAGGAGCACCAAGCACACGACGGCCCCGGTCGCGACGCGCTCCGCAGCCTCCGGCCAGCCACACCGTTTCCGCGGAGCCTTTCTCGTTCCACTTCTCTCCAGATAAAGGGGCCCAAGCACACACAAATAAATACACACAAATCCAAAGATTCCCAATATTTTCGCATATGTTCTGGATTGTCGTCTTCCCCTCAACTTCCCATTTTTTCCAATATTTTCCGTGGAATCGATGATTCATTGTGTCTGTGTGTTTTTCCCCTCCTGACCAGAGGCTCCAAACTGAAGTGAAGAACACTACTCACTGGAGGCGTCAGAGGGGAAGCCTGCTGAGTGGAAGCCAAACCTGCACACTAGAGGTGCTTGATCGTTTGACCCTCCACCCAGGTGGCGCTTTCGTCCGACGAGGTCGTCGTGTTCGTCGTCGCTGTTCGTCGTCCTCTTTCGCCGTCGCCATTCATCGTCGTCAGTCATTATCGTTCGTCGTCATCGTCGTCCGTCGTCAGCCGTCGTCGGTGTTTGTCGTCGACGTCGTGGTTGTCGTCGTCGTCGTCGTCCGTCGTCGTCGCCCATTGTCTTCGTCGTCATCGTCGTACATCGCCATTGGTCGTGGTCGTCGCCAACTTTCGTTGTCGTCATCGTCCGCCGCCGTCGTCCACCGTGGTCCGTCGTCGTCGTTGCCGTCGTCCGTCGTCGTAGTCGACGTCCGTCGTCGTCGTGCATCGCTCTCGTCGCCCGTCGTCGCTGCCCGCGGCCGTCGTTCCTAATCCTTGAACGCCCGAAATGGGTACGGAAAAATGGGTACGATGCCCAAAAACAACTGTCGTCCAAAACCGACAGCGCCCGCTGTTTGGCAGGCGGCCTTCAGACTCGAATGGACAACGTCCGCGGCGACACCGACAGCGCGTCCTGTCCAAGATGATCAGGCAAGGAAAGTCTTCGTACCCACTGTCCCCGTACCCATTCCCATCGGACGGCCAGTCCTAGACATCCGTCAAGAGCATGACAACCTCCGCCGGCCAAACTAAAGCGCGTTCGAGGGTGCCCCCCCCCCAGGATGTACCAGAACACCCTGCAAACACGAAGAACAGTAGGGCACCCTCCCCGAACCGACCTTGACCTTATGCCTCGGTCCGATCGCACCAGCTTTCGCCAGCATGAGGAAAGCGGGTCCGGAAGGACACGGGCCCTGGACCCTGGGCCCCCCACCCACAGGATGAACTGGGGCCCCCCACCCACAGGACGAGCGGGTCCTCCTGAGCCGTTTCCCGACGCTCCTGGGGCCCGTGGAGGGCCCCAGGAGCCCGAAGGCGGGGAGAAAAAGCTCAGGACCCGCTTCCCTCAGGACCCGTTCCCGGACCCCCGACGTCATGATCTTCTTTTTACGACGTCGACTCTCAGAGGTCTGGGCCCCTCCCCCGGCACCGGTTTTTCATCCCCAAACGCTTTTTGACGGCCCCGAGGCCTGGTAAGGGCTACCGGAGGCTGAAAATATAGAAAAACGTGCGGTCGTGTTTTTTGTCCCAACAATCCTGTGGTGTTGAGTCCTCGTTTTGCAAAGACAAGGCCCCGCGTCCCACTCCTCCTCCTCCTCCCGCTGCCCCCTCCCTCCTCCCTCCTCCCATCCCTTGCCTCTGCTCTCCGCACGTCCATTTGGGCGCACCCCTCACACGTTTCGTCGCCTCAGTGGCAGGGTCTGCATGCAGTTCCACCTCCATTTCGGCGCACCCCCCCCTCACACGTGTCGTGGCCCCATAGTGTGCTCCACCAAAGGCCTCAGTGGCAGGGTCAACATGCAGTTCCACCCCCATTTCGGCGCACCCCTCACACGCTTCGTGGCCCCATAGGGTGCTCCGCCGAAGGCCCCAGTGGCAGGGTCCGCATGCAGTTCCACCTCCATTTCGGCGCACCCCTCGCACGTTTCGAGGCCCCATAGGGTGCTCCGCCGAAGGCCCCAGTGGCAGGGTCCGCATGCAGTTCCACCTCCATTTCGGCGCACCCCGCAAACGTTTCGTGGCCCCATAGGGCATAGGGTGCTCCAAAGGCCCCAGTGGCAGGGTCCGCATGCAGTTCCACCCCCATTTCGGCGCACACCTCACACGTGTCGTGGCCCCATCAGGTGCTCAACCCAAGGCCCCAGTGGCAGGGTCCGCATGCAGTTCCACCTCCATGTCGGCGCACCCCTCACACGTTTCGTGGCCCCCATAGGGTGCTCCGCCGAAGGCCCCAGTGTCAGGGTCCGCATGCAGTTCCACCTCCATTTCGGCGCACCCCTCGCACGTTTCGGGGCCCCATAGGGTGCTCCGCCGAAGGCCCCAGTGGCAGGGTCCGCATGCACTTCCACCTCCATTTCGGCGCACCCCGCAAACGTTTCGTGGCCCCATAAGGTGCTTCACCGAAGGCCCCAGTGGCAGGGTCCACATGCAGTTCCACTTCTATTCCGGCGCATGCAATTCCACCTCCATTTCGGCGCACCCCTCGCACGTTTCGTGGCGCCATAGGGTGCTCCGCCGAAGGCCCCAGTGGCAGGGTCCGCATGCAGTTCCACCTCCATTTCGACGCACCCCTTACACGTTCCGCGGCCCCGTAGGTTGGCTCCATGGAGGCAGGTTCCGCATGCAGTTCCACCCTTCATCTCGGCGCACCCCTTCCACGTTTCGTGGCCCCCAAAGGCCTAGTGGCAGCGCCCGCACGTGGTCCACCTCCATTTCGGCGCACCCCTCACACGTTTCGTGGCCTCACGTGGGGCTGCACCGACGGCTCCGGTGGCAGCGTCCGCATGGCGTACTTTTGCCAATTTTGGCACGCCCGTCGCACGCGTCGTGGCCCCAGAGGGAGGTTCACCGAGGACGACACTCACAACTGCGTTACACACAGCTGCACATGGTTGGTGAAGGGGCCCTGGGACACACAAATAAATACGCACAAATAAAAAGAATCCCCATCTTTTCCCATATGCTCTGGGTTTTTGTCTTCCCCCCCACTGCCCATCTTTTCCCACATTCCCCTGGGCATCGACGACTCATTGTGTCTGTGTGTTTCTTTCCCTCCTGAGTTGGGTGCTTCGCCAGGATAGCTCATAACTCGAAGGGGCCTGGACTTCCCACGTGGCGGAATCGGGTCGCTGGTCGTGCTCGCCACCGCCGGCGCGCGGGGCCCCGGTGGGCCTGGCACCACGCCTGCGGGGCCCCCCGGCCGCCCGTCGCCCGCAGCGCGCGCAGCAGGCAGGCCAGGAACAGGACGCAGAGCATGGGGCAGAATTGGATCTGCACCTGCAGCGCGGCAGTGTGCACCAGGAGGAGGAGGAAAGGAAGGGGGAGGAGGAAGATGATGATGATGATGATGATGATGATGATGATGATGATGATGATGATGATGATGATGATGATGATGATGATGATGATGATGATGATGATGATGATGATGATGATGATGATGATGATGATGATGATGATGATGATGATGATGATGATGATGATGATGATGATGATGATGATGCTGATGATGATGATGATGATGATGATGATGATGATGATGATGAGGAGGAGGAGGAGGAGGAGGAGGAGGAGGAGGATGAGGAGGAGCAGGAGGAGCAGGGAGACGACGACGACGACGAAGAAGAAGAAGAAGAAGGAAGAAGAACAAGAAGACGAATAAGAAGAAGACGACGACGACGACGAAAACGCCACCATCGGGCCTCAGCCCAGCACGCCCTCGGCACGCTCTTCGGCGAACCCCTGCGGCACTCGGCGGCCTTCGGCACTTGAGCGAGGATCAGAGATCTTAGCCCCTCGAGCCATGAAAGAATCACGACCGACGGTGTTTCTTCACAGTATGTTCGGCCTCCAGGGGCCCTCGCCGGGCCTCGGGACCGTCGAAGAGCGACTCAGGATGAAAGACCGATCCCTGGGAAAAGGTCGAGACCTCTGGGGGTCGACGTCCGGACAAGAAGCACGACGGGGGTCTGGGGCTGAGCGACGATCAAAGAAAAGGTCTCGCGCGAGATGCTGCAGCGACCCTACGAGACGGCTTGCGCGGGCCGCCAGCGCGGTACGCCGCGTTGGAGACGGGGGTGCTGACGCGCGACCGTGCCGGGCAGCTTACGCGCAAATGTCGGCGCAGACGACCCCGTTCTCTTGCGTCGCTCACTCGACCAGCTCACCCTTCTCTGCGACAAACGCTCGGTGAATCAACGCGCACACGGTGAATGAATTCTCTCGGCGGCGTCAGCCTGGGCGGAAAAACTGGCACCAATCGAGATGTCCAGACTCGGCAGAATCCTTGGCCAGCCTTGGCATGCACAGTCGCCACAGAAAAACGATTGAATACCAAAATCAAGCCAGAAATGATCACGTCGTCTTGCTTTCTCGGAGCAGGGCGCTCTGAAACGCTGGGAGTTCAGAATCGGTCCCCCGACCTCGCCTGGGGCCCAAGCGCACCAATTTGCGGTGCTGCGTGCAGTCGTGGTGAAGAGGGGCCCCCCCGAAGACCAGATACCGAAGCCTCAGTCGGGCCTCCCCGGTGAGGAACCAGAAGAGGAGGAGGAGGACGAGGATGAGGAGAATGAGGAGCAAGGGGAGGAGGGGGAGGAGGAGGAGGAGGAGGATGAGGACGAGGAGGAGGAGGAGGAGGACGAGGAGGAGGAGGAGGACGAGGAGGAGGGAGGAGTGAGGACGGAGGAGGAGGGGGAGGAGGAGGAGGAGGAGGGGGAGGGGAGGGAGGAGGAGGAGGAGGAGTCAGGAGGAGAGGAGGAGGAGGAGGAGGAGGAGGGGGAGGAGGGGAGGAGGAGGAGGGAGGAGAGGAGGAGGAGGAGGAGGAGGAGGAGGAGGAGGAGGAGGACAAGGAGGAGGAGGAAAAGGAGGAGGAACAAAAAGGTCAGGAGGAGGAGGAGGAAGAGAAGGAGAGGAGGCGGATGAGGAAGAGGAGGAGGAGGAGGGGGAAGGGGAGGAGGGAGGAAGATGGATCCCCCCCGCACAAGACAAAACTCAAAAATCATCGGGGAGTGCTGCGCTGTAGGGCTGTCTTGTGGACGGTGCGCTCGCCGCGGCCCGCTGGAAGCAGGCCGCTGCCGACAGCAACCCCCGTGCGGGAAGGGCTGGCCGGCGAGGCCAGTCCACTAATGAAGGTGCCCTGGGGCACACAAATAAATAGACACAAGTAACAGGATCCCCAATATTTTCCTACATATTCTGGGTGTTCGTTGCCCCCCCCACTTCCCATATCTTCCTCCAGTTTCCTGGGGATCGACGATTCATTGTGTCCGTGTGTTTTTCCCCTCCTGAATTCAGCACTGCTGTCTCAGGTCGGTACGCGCCCCCCCTGCACTGGGCGACTTGACAGATATAATGGATTGCTGCGCTGGTGCGGCCTGTGTTGACTCCTCCTGGTCCTCCTCGGGTTCGGCGCTGACGCCATTGTCGGCGCAGGCGTGGTCCTGGTAGCCGTTGTTGCCCAAGTAACTGTAGGCGCGGTGGCCACAGGAACAGCTGCCGTGGCAGCGGCGGGCGTTCCTGTAGCGCTCTTTCTGGGCGCCCTCGATCCCTGTGCCAATTGCGCGGGTCTCGCTGCAGTCCGGCTGTTTGGTTGCCGGTTGGGCCACCAATTCGGCGAGGAACGTGGCCTCAGGGCTCGAAGCTGACGCGCGTTGATGCGTGCTCGCCGCCGGTCCTCTCACCTTGAGAGCTCGTGCTTCAAGGCTACGACGTATCTCTTCCGGGAGTGCAGCTGCTCATTGGTCCAGGCCCGCATGGCCGTCTGGCGGGATTTGCGGACTCCTCGCATCGCCTGATTCCGACAATCAACTGGCTTCTCGAAATCGTTGAGCCGGGACCGACCGTCCCAGCAGTCTTAAATGCCTACCACGGCATGTTCTTAGAACCCAAAGGTGTTCCAACGAAGTGTTCTTAGAACTCGAAAATGTCCGAATAACCAAATACAAGGTTCGTATGACATAAGCTCGATGTGTTAAAACAAGACGGTCTCTCCGGCAGAAACGTTCTAATAACATGTCGCGCAGACCACACAACAACGGGTTCTTAGAACATTCTCGGGTTGGCCTCTAGGCAAACCAGGACGCTTCGCCACTGCTCTAGAAGCAGACGAAGAAGAGGACAAACGCCATAACCATAAACTTCTGGCGCCCCGCGAGGATTTCTTGGACCCGCGCTGGGCCCCTCCGGCGGCGCCTCCGCTGTCGAATTGTATCCTTGGCTGCGCGCTCCGCGGGGGGGGCACCCATGACGGCGCCAGCCCGCGCGGGCCATCGCGGGCGGCCCAGCCTCCCCGAAGGAGGGCGAAGCGCCCAGGCGCCGCCTGGGCCGCCGTGTGCGACAAAGGCGGGGTTCCTGCCAGCACGCCTTTCCCTTTTTTTTGCATGGAGCACACGTGGCGCACAAGGCACGTCGCGGCTTGGAACAACATATGAACCGACTTGGCGAAGGGGTACGGGAAGTCCACCTGGCAGGCGCTGCGGTAAAGAAGATGAAAGAATGCGGTGTAGAGTAAGAAATACGGATTAGGCGCCTGCCAGGCGCCTCCTCCTCCTCCTCCTCTTCTTCCTCCTCCTCCTCCTCCCTCCCCCCCCCTCCCCGCCTCCTCCTCCTCCTGTTCCTGTTCAATTTTTCCCTTATAGATGACTTCGACCTGTCGCAGCCCGAGGACGGTCGAAAGGGTGGACCGGGCGTTTCGCCTGAGACTTCCTCAGAATTTATGGTCCGGACGCTGAATAATTGGCAACGGTTTCACTGATTGAGGGCGGGTCGCTTCAAACGTGTGGTTTCGCTTCAGCGCGGCGCGCATCCGTTTTGAACAATGCAAGAGCTTCACGGACTGAGGGCGGGTCGTTTTCAGAATGTGGCTCTCGCCATAGCGCCGCGAACATTCGTTTTAAGCTTGACAAGACTTTCACGGATTGCCTGCGGGATGTTTGAAACAGTGCTCTTGCCTGAGGGCCGCGCAGACTCATTGTAAACATTGTCAAAAGCTTTACGGATTGAGGGCAGGTTGTTTTCAAAACGTGGCTCTCGCCTTAGCGCCGCGCGCATTCGTCTTAAACATTCGCAAGAGTCTCACGGATTGAAGGCGGATTGTTTTCAACACGTAGCTCTCGCCTTAGCGCCGCGCGAATTGGGTGAAAAGCCCGCTGGACTTGTTGAGTCGAATGGTTAACGTACCAGAGATCTTGTTTTGGAGCGGTTCGGGGTTGACAGGGCGCAACAATTACGTTGATTCGCTGTGTTCATGTCCCGGGAATGGTATTCTGGAACGACTCGGGACCGCCAAGGCGTAACAGTCAGGTGAACTCGTGGAATTGCAATCCTGAGGAAGGCGTTTTGGCACGCTTGTCCCCCAACGGGGCAAGTCCTCTAACGGGGCAAGTCCCTCAGTGGAAATGAACCCTAGGGGCCTATGAAGAGGGAGTATGGAGGGTGTCTTCCAACATCGTTGATGGGTCTGAGGTTTACATTGGTCCTCCACCTCATCATCATCCTTCCTCCTCCTCCTCCTCCTTTTCACTGGTCCTTTCCCTCGTCCTCTTCCTTCTCCTCCTCCTCCTTCCCGTCTCCTGTCCCTCCCTTCCCCTCCTCCGCCCTTACCCTCCCCCTCCTTCTGCTCATCCTTTCCCTCCTCCCCCACCTCCTCCCCTCCCACCCCGCCCTCCCCCTCCCCGCCCCTTGGCTCAGGCCACTTTGGCTCCCCCCCTCCCCCCTCCCCTTCTCACTTTGGCTCCACTTTGGCTCAGGCCACTTTGGCCCTTCTCCTTCTCCCCCACCTCCCCCCTCCCACCCCGCCCTCCCCCTCCCCGCCCCGTGGCTCAGGCCACTTTGGCTCCCCCCCCTCCCCCCCCAGCCCTCCGCTTCCGGGCCGCGGCCCTCGGCTCTCCGGCGGCCGTCCCGGACGACCTGGGAACCCGCGGCACGCTCTCGGCGAGGAGCGGCCGCTGGAACGCAGCCCGAGGCTGGAACGCCGCCGAGCGCGGACGAGCACGCCCAGAAACCTCGAGCCTCGAACCTCGAAACCTCGCTGAACGCCACCCCCGCGACGTTGCCCCTGGTCAGCTTCAGGGCGGGCCGGCCCCCCATACAGGCGGATTTGGAACGACAGAAAAAACAAAGACCCCCCGAAATAGCGAAAAACATTCACTATATTGAACGACAAATAAAAAGTGGACCGGCAAATAAAGAAAACACAAACGGAATTGGAACGACACATGCTCAAAATAGCCAAAAATAGGCCAAACACCGTCCCCAGACTACGGCAGGTTCGTGTCGTGCCGACCCCAGCGTTGGTTTTTGACACCGCAGGGATCGTTCAACCTTGAACGATCGGCCGCTGCCGCAACGTCCGATCGTTCAACATCGATCGATTCTGGGTCGCCGGCGGCGTTCAACCTTGAACGCCCGCGCTGGGGTCGCCAAGGTCGACACGACGCAAACCTACCGTATGTCGTCACTGTTTTTGCATATTCCTCTGGTAGAGGGACAGGCCCGACTCAAGGTGAGCTCCGGAGTGCAGAAGCAGAGGAGGGGGCCACGAAAGCTGTCCGCCTCCTCCTCCTCCTCCTCCTCCTCCTCCTTCCTCCCTCCCTCCCTCCCTCCCTCCCTCCCTCCCCCCTCCCCCTCCTCCTCCTCCTCCTCCTCCTCACTCTCCTCCTCCTCCCCTCCTCCTCCTCCTCCTCCTCCTCCTCCTTTCTCCTCCTCCTCCCTCCTCCCACCTACCTCCCTCCTCCCCTCCTCCCTCCTCCTCCTCCTCCTCCTCCTCCTCCTCCTCCCCCTCCTCCCCCTCCTCCTCCTCCCCCTCCTCCCCCTCCTCCCCCTCCTCCTCCGCCTCCTCCATCCTCCCCGCCGAGGAGGGCGGCTCCCCCCTGTTCCACCGAGGGGCGGGGCGCGGGCGTCGGCCCGGCGGCCCCGCGAGCGGCCCCACCGCTTCCTCCAGCTTTTGTTCGGGGGGGCGGGCTCTGGGCGTACTGCGGGATGACGATTAAGCAAAAAAAGCACATGTTCAAACATAGGCAAAAAAACTAAAAGCAATCGTCCCCCGACTATCTTTTTACTATTTTTGAGTTCTTCCCCTGTACAGGGACGTGCCCGACTTAAACGTAGCTCGATATACCTGGATCCACCAAGGACGACCTGGGCGTAATGCGGGATGACGATTAAGAAAAAAAACAGGGGGGAACGATGAAAAAAATAGTTTCCGACACCGGGGGGGGACGCTCAGAAGCAGGGCTCGCCTGTGCGGTGTTGCGTCACCGGGGGGGGCGCGCGCCCGAGGACGGCGGGGGGGGGGACGATTTAAAAAATAGTTTCCCAGCCCGGGGCCGGTTTTTTCTAATCGCCATCCCAGGCGCCGCCGCGTGAACACGACTCCCGGTCATTTATTAATTGTCATCCTCAATTACCTGAAGGGGCCCTGGGACACACAGAAGGAGTAGACACAAATGACAGGATTCCCCAGATGTTCAAACAGTTTCGGGTTTTTTGTCTTCCCCCCCCACACTTCCCATATTTTCTTGTTGTCCTGGGGGTCGACGATTAATTGTGTCTGTGTGTGCGATTTTTCCTCTCCTGAGTACCTTTAGGTCGGGCATGTGATCCTACAGGGGGTTTTGGGACGAAAGATAGCAAAAGTTCGACACATGTTCAAACATAGGCAAAAACTAAAAGCAATCGTCCCCCGACTATTTTTTTTTTACTATTTTTGAATTCTTCCCCTGTGAAGGGACGTGCCCGACTTAAACGTACCTCGATATACCTGGATCCACCAAGGACGACCTGGGCATGTTTGCACTTACCTTGATGTGCCCGGCCTGGTCCCCACGAGTCGATGGGCGAAAAACCTTCAAGCCCTCCAGGATCGGTCGACATCGAATCGGGAACTGGGATCACATCGAAACGCTCGTCGAACGGGACAGCATCGGCACGGACTCGGCGTCGAATCGGATCGGCGGCGCCAGGATGCGCAACAGCGCTATGCAAGCATCAGGCCGCATCGGATAGCCCAGAAATCGGAGTCGAATCGGATCGGGCCGGCGGGAGCCGATATCGAATCGGATTGATCGGGTCGAGAGAAAAAGAATAATACGAAGAAGAAGAAGAAGAAGACGTGCCATAAACATAAAGTTTTGGCGTTCTGCGTGCTTTCTTTGATCTGCGCCGCGCGGAGCGCGCCAGGGGCGGCGCCGGAGGCGCTGGCGGGGGGTCCCCAGCAGAAATCCTCGCGAAGCGCCAGAAGTTTATGTTTATGTGTTTGTTCTTCTTCTTCTTCTTCGATGTTTGATACGATTGACTGGTTTCTCGAAGTCGTGGCAGTCAAATTGCATCGTTGGCGGCGCGCTCCGCGGGGGTGCGCCCTGGCAGCGCCGGCCCACGCTGGCCATCGCGGGCTCCAAAAGTTTGTGCTTATGGTTTTTTCTCTCTTTCGAGTTCAGGGCCCTCCCCCTCCCCCAGCCGCAGGCGCCTTCGCGTTCTGCAGGCTCTGCTCCTCCTCCTCCTCCTCCTCCTCCTCCTCCTCCTCCTCCTCCTCCTCCTCCTCCTCCTTCCCCTCCTCCTCCTCCTGAACTGAACTGAAAACTACCACAGAACGCGCGAAGCGTGCAGGGAACCTCCTCCTCGTCCCCCTCCTCCTCCTCCTCCTCCTCCTTCCCCTCCTTCTCCTCTCTCCTCCTCCTCCTCCTCCTCCTCCTCCTCCTCCTCCTCCTCATCCTCCGACTTCCTCCTCCTCATCCTCCTCCTCCTCCTCCTCCTCTCCTCCTCCTCCTCCTCCTCCTCCTCCTCCTCCTCTCCTCCTCCTCCTCCTCCTCCTCCTCCTCCTCCTCCTCCTCCTCCTCCTCCTCCTCCTCCTCCTCCTCCTCCTCTCCTCCTCCTCCTCCTCCTCCTCCTCCTCCTCCTCCTCCTCCTCCTCCCTCCTCCCTCCTCCCTCTCTCTCCTCCTCCTCCTCCTCCCTCCTCCCTCCTCCCTCCTCCCTCCTCCTCCCTCCTCCCTCCTCCCTCCTCCCTCCTCCCCTCCTCCTCCTCCTCCTCCTCCTCCTCCTCCCTCCTCCTCCTCCTCCTCCTCCTCCTCTCTCCCCTCCTCCTCCTCCTCTCCTCCTCCTCCTCCTCCTCCTCCCCCTCCCCCCATGGATCTGTGCTTGCCATGGAAAGACCTGCTGGGTCAACGTGCTCTGTCTAGGCTCTGGTGCCGCCCCATCTCGCTCGTGCACATGCAGGGGCGCCAATCGTGGGCGAAGGAACAGCAATGCATATTCTGCCAGGGGGCCGTCCGCAGCCCGACGTTCCACACCCTCAGCGTCTGCAGGGCCACGCAGCAGATGCGTGCAGCCTTCTGGCAGGCCCGGGGGAGCGCGCAACCCGAATCTAAAGAAGAATACGCCCTTGTCCTTTTGAGTTCTTCGCCAGGGGACGCAGGCTTCTTCGAAGCAGCATCGCTCGGATGCTTCTTGGAACGGGAGGCGGCGCCTTTTTGGAAAAATGCCCCCCTTGTGGGACTGCTCCTCTCTCCCTCCATCCTGCTAGCCTCGCACCTACGTCGTGCGCTGGCGTTGGGCGGAGTCGAGACCGGGTGAGGATCCCTGACGGAGGGTCGCCTTTGCCCCCTCCCCAGGAAATCCCTAATCTTGCGTTTGCCTTTTGGGCTTGGGCGTGGCACCTCTCCGGACCGAGCCTGGGAAGCTGAGGAGAGGCTTGGGCACGGTGGAATGCAAGTCCTCGTGCCCTCCCCCTCTGTCCCAGATCTGCTTCCCGAGAGTGGTCTCATCCATCCCTGGGCTGACGTTGTGGGGTTGCTGTCGGTCGCCGGCCTGGGCCCCACGGCTCTCTACTAAAGGGGCTGTGCCCGCAGTTCCAACATGCCACCTCGCTGGGAGGTCACCAACCAACCAACCCCTCCTCCCCCTCCTCCTCCTCCTCCTCCTCCTCCTCCTCCTCCTCCTCCTCCTCCTCCTCCTCTCCTCCTCCTCCTCCTCCTACTCCTCCTCCTCCTCCTCCTCCTCCTCCTCCTCCTCCTCCTCCTCCTCCTCCTCCTCCTCCTCCTCCTCCTCCTCCCCCTCCTCCTTCTCCTCCTCCTCCTCCTCCTCGCCCTTCTCCTCCTCCTCCTCCTCCTCCTCCTCCTCCTCCTCCTCCTCCTCCCCCTCCTCCCCCTCCCTGCGCAGGCGCCTTCGCGTTCTGCAGGCACTGCTCCAGCACGCTCGAGCCGCCGCGGCCCTGCTGCGGCCCCCCCGGAGCAGCGCGCGCCTCGGCCTCGGCAGGGGCGCGGAGGATTTCGTCGAGGATCGAGGGTCGGGGGTCGAGGATCGAGGATCGAGGGTCGAGTGTCGAGAATCCAGGGTCGACGGTCGAGGGTCGAGGATCGAGGGTCGAGGGCCGAGGATCGAGGGTCAAGGATCGAGGGTCGAGGGTCGAGGTTCGATGGTCGAGGGTCTCGACGGTCGAGGGTCGAGGGTCGAGGTTCGATGGTCGAGGGTCTCGACAGTCGAGGGTCGAGGGTCGAGGGTCGAGGATCGAGGGTCGAGGATCGAGGGGTGTGCGTTGAGAGCTCCGCGCCGATCCGAGGGATTCGGCGCCGGGCCAGCCTACAGAGGCGGGTGATGGGACCTCGATCCCTCGATCCCTCGATCGCTTCGACTCCTTCGATCCCTCCATCCCCGACCGATCGACGCCTCGATACCCGAACCCTGGATCCTCGGTCTCGGTCCCTGGATCCTCGATTCCTCGATTCCTCGATTCCTCGATCCCAGGATCTCTCGATCCCAGGATCTCTCGATTCTTCAAGCGTCTGGAGGCCATCCTCCCCCGGCATGAAAGGCACGGGTCCCGAGGGAGACCAGGGGTGGAGCCTTCGCGGTGGCAGCTCGTGGGAGCCTTCTGTACAATTTTGCTTGCTCTTGCGAATCGAAGCTAATCGGCGCTAAATCGACGCTAATCGACGCTAGTCGACGGTAAGTTGGCGCTATCTCATCGCCTACCAGGCGCTGGCCCACGCTAGTGCACTCTAAGGACGAGATTCGGGAGCGGCCAAGAGGGGGGTGTCCGAGAGGGGGGGGTGCAACACATGACAGGCGGCATGTGCACGGCCCAGCGGGGGGGCCAGGGACGTAATGGAATGAGAAGAGGCGCCATGAAATCTGGGGAAATATCATGGCCCCCGCCATGATATCCACCCCCCCCTAGTCATCACCCCCCCCTTTGCCGCCCCCGAGAGAAATTGCGAAAAGGGACACAAAACTCGCATGAATTACTACCGAAGGAGCCTGCAGCCTGCTGGCTTCCGCAGGGCTCCTGCTCCTCCTCCTCCTTTTCCTCCTCCTCCTCTTCTTCCTCCTCACCATCACCACCACCACCATCATGCTCCTTGTCCTTTTCCTCCTCCCCCTCCTCCTCCTCCTCCTCCTCCTCCTCCTCCTCCTCCTCCTCCTCCCCTCCCAACTTACTGCCGGGAACTTCTAGATGGCGTGTCGCCCCCGCGGCCCGGGCAACGCGCCGTGCCCTGCGAGAGGGCAGCGCATTGCTCCGCTCCGCGGGGCGGGAGGCTCGGAAAAGCTCGGGACATGATTGAGGCCTGGGCACGGCGACGTGGATAGCGTGTCGCACCGAAGCGCAGTGGGCCAGAACTGGCGGAGCGACACGCAAACCAACAATTCCCGACCGCATCGTCCCGAGAGGTCTTCCGACGGACCCTGGGCCACAAGGGGTCCAGAAATGGAGAAACGACTCCATGAATCGTTTCCCTCGAGACCCCGTTCCTGCTTGGCGAGCTCCCGTGGGTGGTGGGTGGGGGGTGCGAGGATGGGATCTAGTGACTGACAGCGCCAGGGAGGGTAGATTGTCGGGAATATCGCAAGGCGCTGGATGTGAATAGTTCCCCCCCCCCAAGGGGAGCCAGATACAACCAAGCCCACGGCCCGCCGGTCCTCGAAGAGATCGATGCTGGAGGCGGGGGGGGGGGGGCAACGACCAACCGGAAAGGTGAGGACGGAGGGGGAGAGAGAGGAGAGGAGGAGGAGGAGGAGAGGAGGAGAGGAGGAGGAGGAGGGAGGAGGAGGAGGAAGGGAGGAGGAGGGGGGGGGGGAGGAGGAGGGAGGAGGAGAGGAGGAGGAGGAGGAGGAGGAGGCAGGCAGCGATGAAAGAAGTGTCAGGGTCACTGACACCCCCCAGCAGGAGCGTGAGAAGCCAGGCAGGGGGCGTTGGCCAGCCTTGCCCAGCTCTTATGTGCCGAGGCTCGGCCACCATCTCAGCGGGAAAGTTGGCTGAGAGTGGCGAGGCGCAGCACACGCATCAATCGAGCGACAAGGGCACGCCCGATCGGGGATGCAGGCCCCTGAGGACCCTAGAAATGTTGCTCTCCTCGTTGGCCCGCGTTGAGGCCACGGGAGAGTGGCCTTTACAGGCCTTCGCCGTGAGTTTCGGATTCCGACCACCATTAATCGAAAAGGCCCCGCAAGCTAAACAGATAACGGCGGGGCCGAATCGTTCGGCGGGATGTCCGAGAGAAGTGCACACCTCCACCACCCCATCAGCAGCAGCAGCGGCAGGCAGCATCCCTCCTTCCTCCTCATGTAGCGGGCCTCCTGCGGCCTCGACCGCCACCTGCACCGACGGCGTCGAATCAGACACGTAGTGCTGGGGGGTCAGACGGAAGAAGCGCTCCGCAGTTGCCCGCTGAAGGGCCGAGGGAGCACAAGCCGAGTTACGCAAAAAACGATAGGACAGGGAGGTGCGAGCAAAACGATTGCACAACATACACCTGTATTCAGAGATAGCTGCACAGAACATCATCGTGTGAGATGTGACAGCAAGCGAGGGCGCGGGGGGGGCCTTGCGGGGCGCAGGGGCGTCGGCTGCTGGCTGCAGCTGCTCCGCCTTCCTCGCGGCCGCCTGGACCATCCAGGCAAAGGCCTCACCGTCCTTACGCGCGACCTGCAATCTGGATTTGTGCACATCAACGAGAACCTGCGCAACAGCATGGGACTGCGAGCCCAATTTGGCAAAATAATCGGCCCATTCATTTCCGACGAAATCAAACACTTCGGCCGCCCCTAGGGGCAGCACGTCGTCCAGGGAACGATGGGCGCTCGTCCAGCGAAAGGTGGGAGGCTCCGACTGTCCGACAACGTGCCTAATCTGCCTCCAGATAGACGCCTGACGAGAAGCACCTGATTCGCACAAAGAAGAGGGCTGCCGACCTGCCTTCACCAAACTGAGATGATCAGACACAATCTCTGCTGGGTGCGCTGCAATCTGGATGGCTCGAAGGGCAGCATAATGTTCCGCCCTAGGGACGGTCTGAAGCCTACCTGGAAGCGGGCCATAGATCGCTCTGACTACACAGCCAGACTCATCTAATTGGACCGCGGCCCAGCCGCAGCGCGTCAGGCCTTCCATCGAATTCGCCAGGCCTGACCCGTCCGTGTACACCCTCGGCCCCCAAGCTCCCCGCCAGTCACCCCACCCCATCGTCGGAAGCGAGTCGGCGACTGGCTCTGGAAAGGGCGGCAAGGGCGGCAGCCCATAATTTAAAAAGAAAGCCTCCTTGCCATTGTCTGTCTGGTAGCTCTTGACCAAGCTGGCACGGTGCTCCAAAACGTCGTCGGGCAAAGCTTCTTCAGGCCTACACTCAAGCATGCCATCGCAACCCCACCACTGGTGGGCCTCGGTGCCGACCTGCTCTTTACACACAAAACACAACGGCGTCGGGCGCAAATTAATCGAATGGAGGCGCTCAGGAGTCCAGACCCCCGCAGCCCACAAGGACCGCAGCGCCCCACGACGGCCCCCATCACGGAGAGCAAGCACTGATTTCCGAAGCGCACGACGCCAAACAGTGTGCCCCTGGTTGTCGGGGAAATGGGCCAGGACCCTCGCAACCTGCCATCTTCGAATTCCCTGCTCCAGAAAAATGCGCACGTCCTGAGGACATACACGGAGCAGGTCGATGGGCCAGCCCTCGTCGCTCACTAAGGTGGTGGGTCCTGACATTGACCACCCTATCCGAAGGAGCGTATACCATACCGAAGAAATCGGACCCCTGGCAAACTTCCACGCTGGATTGTGCCGAATTCTGTCTTTGATCGCGAGCCAAGCTCGAGCAAGACGTGAAGGAACGACCCTGGCTTCCCAGACACAAGTAGCAAACCTCACAACAAGCGGAACCGAAGCATCGAACACAGGGTCGAACCTATCGTCCTTTTGCGTGCATAGATAGGTAGTGAGGCAGGACTTGGGCTTAACTCCTACCATCCCTCCCGCAAACGTACGCAGCTCGCGGAGAGAAACATCGGACACACCGCTAACGCCACCTCCGTGGCTGGCTGCTGGGAGGAGCCCCGTTCGCCAAAGGGCCTTGACGGCCTCAGGTTGAGCCTGACGGAGCCCCCAGACTTTACGCCTCTTGGACTGCAAGACTCGAAGTCGGGCCTTCTCTTGGACCCGCAGAACCTTGACTCCGTGCATCTCGTGCCCTAGATTACGCATGCCGTGCTTGCTGCGAAAACCTAGCTGCGAAATGTGCCGTGCGAATGTGTCACGGGCGGCACAAGTGTTGGCCACAAACCCACTCTTATTCGCCTGCACACGCAATCCGAGGGGGGCAATATCATGGCAGAAAGACTGAACCGCCTGCGCAAGCACATGTGAGCTCTCTCCTGGATCTTTGCCTTGGCGGCGTTTGCCCACCCAGTTAAAACTCACGTCATCCATCAGGTCCCTGGGTTCCACAGATGGGAATCGCTCCACCGACAGGTTCAAACTTCTATATAGAAGCACCGTGAGCAGAGTGGTGGCTAGAGAACACCCAGCTAAGATCCCTTGGGCCGTGGAAACCGAGTACGACAAACTACCGAAGGCTCTAAGGGCTCTAGGCTGGGTGTAGTTCTGGATGGCCATCCAGGCCAGACGGAGCGGGAACCCTGTGGCCTTGGCCTCCCTCAAGAGGGCCTGGAGGTCTACACATTCATAACATTTCACCATGTCTATGAAAACAGTAACACAATCCTCTCGCAATTCGTGCGCAATCTCCGAAGCTAAATTTAAAGAGAAGGCGCTGTCACTGGACGATCGCCCTGGACCTGTCCCCCACACCGTGGGATGCGCGTGGTCACGCTCCCAGGCGACCGCTGTTGGACGGCGAACACGTCCCCAAATCCGAGTGAGGGTGTGCATTAGGGCGATCAGCCTGCAGCCGCCTGTGGACTTCGGAATACGCACAAGCTGAGTAAGTATGCGAGACGACGGCCAAATCAGAA